CGCATATTACATTCATACGCTAGTGTGTTTTACACAGCAACAAATCGCATAAAACTTAAAACATTCCTTATTTACTGACATGGTCATTGTATCGACCATAAAAAAGATAACTTTAAACGAAACTGATTAAATTCTTGTTTCGTCAACTTATTTGTCAATAACTCACCTCGTTTTAGAAATTGTCCACACGTAGAGCGTGATCTTGTGAATTGAATCAAATGAGAAACATAACTCCCTATGCAGGTGATGAAGGTTTATTGCTGCATAAGTAAGTGCAGTTGACGATTGAAAAAGTCATCATGTTTATTAAAAAGCTTTGTTGTTACATTACTATTAATGTCTTTATTTAAAGTAAATATCCAAATTTGAAATAAATGTTTCAGGCTCTGTGGTATCTTTTTTTCTGTGTGATGATTTTTACTTTGGCAGTCCATCGTCCGCTCTTGAGGTGAAGTAATGAGTCAATCCATACGTCAGGGGTTCGAATCCACTGCAGGACGTAGAGACCGATCCTTCGGAGGAGATCGAATCAAAACTGAGGTCCCACGTCGCAGTAGATATTGACTGGAAAAAGCTTAAGATCCCTTACTGCTAAATGGCCCTAAATGCCAAGTTTGCAGTCCTCCAGCGGCAAGTGGTGGTGTTTCGATATGAATGAAATATTCTCGAAAGAGATGTTTAAAAAAAAAAAAAAAAACGTTTTCTTCCCTATGACCTAACTCCTATTTCTTGTTTTTTAAATCAATTTTCAAGAAGTTACATGTATATTTCAAGATATATTCATCTAGGATATTCATGTTCTTAGAAGTAATTTAAATAATATGGATCAGATTAGATATACACTGTAGTTGTACAAGTTTATAGTGATTCAGTTTTATTGGTATATAATAAACACTTCATAATAATCATCGTTGAAATTAATATTTCCCGACCCTCTACTTCCAGTATAACATTGGTAGGCATAAAATGTAATTGTTGTTTAATTTCTTCCTGTTCAGTGACACATTCTTCTGATACACACGCTTCCTCCTGGCACAACTTTGGTATTTTGCTTTCCGTCGCCATATTTTTTCAAATTTATAAAGCGCTGGTAAATCAATAAGTGGTTATTTAAAATGTGTTGTAGCTTGATTTGAAACCTTTAAATGGGGTGCTATTCATGGCTTTTCGAACATTAGACGTCTTCAAAACGGCTAGCACATTTTAAAGCAACCAATTAAACAGCTGTTTATATACATATACTAGGGTTGATCGAAAAGTTCGTGGACAATGTCAATCGTCGTTATATTATTACTCACAAGAAATTTAAAATCAGTATAATATAATATCTAAAATTATTTGTTTTGTTGATGTGTGGTGTTTCATTCCATTCGATTTAACAGACATAAATTAACTTCAATTTAAAATTCAACATGTTTTGTACTCGCGGAGCACCCTTAACGGCAATGTTACACCGAAATATAGCGCCAAGAATTTTTAAAATATGCTATTCCTATACATTTCACAAAGTATAATCCAAAGCCCAATCATTAAATCATTTTTCTAATACTTGAAATACATTTTTTTTAAATTGCTCTCATTGTATTATTTCATTTGTTAGGATTTCAATTTCTTTTATTACCCAAAGCAGGTAACAACATTGTATTCGTTTGTAAGGTTCATTACGTTAATAGACGTTCTAGAAGAACTTGGATTTAATCTACAAATGGTAATCCTACTTATACTCATACTTCCCTTTTTAAGGAAAAAATTCTTCAAAATCACTTGTCAATTTTGAATACTTTTAATATTCCATAGAGCCAAAATGAATTTGAACTACCTTATATATATATTGGATTCCGAAACTTCATAAGAATCCTCACAAACAAAGATACATTGCAGGTTCCAGTAAATATTCATTTGCAAAATTATTTTGTTAAAACAGATTCTGATTGCAGACATAAGTACTCTGAAGTTGACATTAAGAAGATGCTTGAGTTTCTGATTGACAATATCTGTGTAGTTTTTGGAGACCAGGTATTCCAACAATCTATTGGAATTCCCATGGGTACAGATTGCGCTCCGTTATTAGCAGACTTATTTTAATAGTCATATGAAGCAGAATTTATGCAAATTCTTATGCGTGAAAAGAAGAAAACACTTGCTGTAGCCTTCAACTCGACATTTAGATATATCGATGACGTATTGTCAAATTATAATGGTAATTTCCATTCCTATGTCGATACGATATATCCTGGTGAGCTTGAGATAAAAGATACTGACACTTCTGTTTCATACTTGGATATTTTACTTGAAAAAGACGCTAATCGAATCTAACAACCAAACTATATGATAAACGTGATGACTTTAATAACTTTTCTATCGTCAACTTCCCTTACTTCTGCAGCAATATACCTTCATCACCTGCATACGGAGTATATATATCTACATTGATTCGATACGCAAGAGCATTTTACACGTATGAACAATTTCTGAAACGAGGTAAATTTTTGACAAGCAAGTTGATGAAACAAGAATATCAGCAGTCTCGTTTTAAGTCATCATTTCGTAAGTTCTATGGTCGATACAATGACCTTGTCAGCAAATACAATTTATCATTGAGTCAAATGCTGACTGACGTTTTTCATCTCAGTTGTTAGTCCGTCATTAATACACTGAATTGACGACGGATTTTTTCCGTTGTTTCCTGATCATGACAAGGAGCACACGGCCGGTGTGACCGGTCGGCAGGGGATGCTCACTCCTCCATGGCACCTGATCCCACCTCTGCTGTTTCGGGGGTCCGTGTTAGCTCTGCTCTTGTTTTGTATTGTTTTATGGACTTTCAGATTGAATACTGTTCGTTATCGCCATATCCCTCTCATTACTTAACTCTGCTTTCACAGGGTAAACTACTCTAAAGCGCCTATGTCTTTCCTTCACCTTCAAACTTTTTAAAGTTTTTATTAAGATTTTTAAAGATAAACGTTTCATCACAATAATTGTCCTCATCTCTGTCACTCAAACACTGTGTATACCATTTGTTCACACATGCACAACTCGCTTGTGACATATATTTTGATTCCTTCAACATTTTTTGAGTTTATTCAGGATTTTTCCTGAGTAAAGGCCGGCATACACGGTAAGATTTGTATTTTAAGATTATGTATTATAATACAAAATCTTAATGTGTATACACTCTAAATACAGTGTATCATATGATTTTTCGAATCTCGTAAAACTTTATTAAGAATAGGGCAATTCTCTATTTCTAAATACAAGTCTTAACTTGCCTTTCACTTTCAACAAATCAAATGAAACCCCATTGAAGGTCATCTTATTTATATCGTTACTAAAAAAAGCACATGGTAAATCACAATGGCAGACTTTACAAGTAAAGACATCGAATAACTCGTGTTTTATGGAGAGGGGAAGAGGACTTGTGGAATATATCAAGCAGTGCATAGTACGATGATAGACACTGCTATCAGAACCTCATCTTCTAATTTTATTATTTTGACAGAGAGAGAAATATGGCGGGGGAAAACACGTGGGAATACGGGAATACGTAGTGAATTTACAGTATTATAATTCAAAAGTATTCTAATTTATACTTGTATTATACTACAAATCTCATCGTGTATACTGGCCTTAAAAGACAAAATTGCATCGTTATCGGCTGCTCCATGACGTTCTAAAACGTCAGCGTTTCTGTTGTTTTCAATGAGGACAACCAATCTTCTCAAGCTGATTTCTTTTCAACAAAGCAAAATATTAAGCCATGATTTGGAATACGAATCGATATAACATTTCTAATTTTGATTTTCTCAATTGTTTTTAGATTTTACCTCATTTTACAGAGAAAAATGACTACAGACTTTATTTAGTGTATTGTTTGTAACTTACTAAATTTTAACCTGCTCCGCGATCCGATTTTTGCATTTTTAAAAGCTGGATAAATTTTAAGAAATCGTGGTATTAAAAAAAAATAATACAAATCATTTGGATTTATTGTCAAAATATTTCTACCAATTTTTTTTATTTACAGATTTTAATACATAGTTTTACAGTACATATATACATTTTCCGTAAACTTTTTATGAGACAAAGAGAGCACTAATGAGAGAGAGAGAGAGAGAAAGCAGGAGAGAGGGAGAAGAAAGAGAGAGAGGAGAGATAGTGGGATAGAAAAAAAATACATAAACAGACTCTTCTAGGGTTTCCAGGTTAGTCAAAAGTCAATTGAGTATTGTTTCTTGTGATATTTCTACCAAATTTGGATAACATATGACGTCAAATAAAAAAAAGATACGAAAGTAGTCCACGAACTTTTCGAACAACCCTCGTATTTTTCCCGAAATTATTGTGAATGACGTACTGGAAAAACCTTTTGAACAACATTTTGAAAGTAAAATAAAAAAAAAAAATGGCTTTAAGTATTTTTTTTGTGTTTCAAATAGGAGTGCATTGATTTGTGTTTGTTCAATGTTAATAATGGTTTTTCAATCTAGAATGATAGAGGGTATTAAGTGTGTATAAAGAATCATCGATTCGGTATATCCCTGTGAGCTTGAAATAAAAGATACAGCATATTCCACTATCTAACTAGCAAAAGACGTTTATGGTAACCTATTCAAAAGCTTTACGAAAAACGTGATGAATTCAACTTTCGAATCATCTACTTCCGCAGCTTATGTAGCAATATCACTTGCATATTAATGTTAATTAAGCTATATGAAAGAGAAACGTGTAGACATACAATAGGGAGGGATGTATCTGTATACAAAAAAAGGTTTGTTAAGGACACACTTATATAAATAGTTAATTGAGGTTCATTTTGAAAAAAAAAAGCTTTCAAGAGCACAAATAATTTAAAGTTCATTAATATTGATCTTCCAATAGTTTCATATTATAATAAACAACGAGTAAAATATGATTTAAATCTAAATGAAGCAAACGTAGAAACAACAAATACGGAAACTGCAAAAATACAGCGGCGGATATGTCGGAAATGTTAACAAAAAAGGTTAAAATCTTCCTTATGCCGGGGATAGAAAAAAGTACCTCTGAACCAAAACCTACAGATGACCAGGATGACCCTGGTGTTGGGGAGACATCTGGTGGTCAGGCTGCTGATGAGGAGGCGGGGGCAGTGGGTGGGGAGACTGAGAATGGCCAGGGCGGTCAGAGGAAATACATTACTATAGAAACTGACGTCACAGTGGAGGTAAATAATTTACAGTATAAAACTATTTTAGTAATGAAATTCACAGAAGGTTTGATTCTATTCAGGTGATATCACCAAAAGGAATTTTTAGACTGTTTATGATGACAGATGAAGATCATTATTTTAGCTTAACTATCAATTTCTCCGAATGTCAAAATATCAAAATATGTAAATCAATATGCGATCTGACGACCGCCAAATAATTATTTGGTGGCCGCCACATAAATAACTGGCGGCCGCTAGAAATAAATCTAGCTGTCGCCAGAAAATTTATTACTAGTATCAAGCGGCCGCAAGATAAAAAATTTTCCTACCTCGCACCTACCAGCTTCCGTACAAAAACATGACAAGCTTTTTAAATTGTAATTTAGTTAATTGTTGAATAAAGAAAATAAATAAAATGATCTATTGAATTCCAGTTTGAAAACATTTTTCAATAATACAAGGCTCTCATAACAGGAATGTCTGGGTGATACCTCTGTAGAGGGAGTCTGGTTCTGCAGTCACTGTCGTAGTTTGTTCATATCTGTGTTTGCCGCCAGTTTCGAGGTCGAGGAATTAAGTGTTTTCCTGGTTGACAACGTTCTATATATAGAAGGGAATCACACGCCAAGACATGGGGAGATAACCACACCCGCTAGGACATTCACCCAGACCTTTATTATCCCCCCTGTCAGACCTGATCACTATGATTTATCTTCTGTCTCCAGCTTCACTAATGGCGACTATCTCTGTGTCTGCATTCCCTCTCATCTTGATAAACACGAACACTGATTAATGCTTATCTAAAGAGAAAATATCAAACAATAAATTGCATTTCTTTATGTATTACAATGTTTGTAAAAAGTCTAAAGCATTTATCTTTGACTGTTTTTTTTCTGTATTAGTTGTAACTATTAACTATTGTAGCTGTTGACTATTTGTGATATATATTGATATTAATCTTCAAGTTGGAAAAAAGATGTTAAATTTTGTAGATTCTTTTTTTCGCGAGGATTAAATATTCCAAATGATTCTTAGACGCAATTTTGCAAGAACGATCATAACAATATGATTAAGCTATCAAGAGATTTTAAATGGATTCGGCGCTAAGAAATAATAAAAAAAACAGTAGAAAACTCGCGAATGGTGCTTCTTTCTAATTAAAAAGTAATTATTTCTTCAATGAAACATATGGAGATAACGAACAGTATTTAAGATCAAAAGTCTATAAAACAATACAAAACAGAAGCAGCGCAAACAAAACATCAAAAGTGGGACCAGGTGACATGAAGGAGTGAGCATCCTCTGCCGACTGGTCACACTCGCAGTGTGCCCCTTGTAAAGATTGGGAAATAACGGGATCGACATCCGTCGTCAATTCAGGGTATAAATAATGGAATAACAATTAGTATGAACAATGTCAGTCAGCATTTGACTCAATGATAAATTGTATTTGCTGACAAGGTCATTGTATCGACCATAGAAGTTACAAAATGATGCTTTTAAAGAAGACTGCTGATATTCTTGTTTCATTAACTTGTTTGTCAATAATTTTCCTCGTTTTAGAAATTGTTCATTCGTATAGCATGCTTGTGCATATCAAATCAACTGAGATATATAAACTCGGTATGCAGGTGATGAAGGTATATTGCTGCATAAGTTACGGTTGAAATGGACTAATGAGCTTGAATACTTACTGATCTTTATCTTTGTATTTCATACAAGAAAAATAGAACTTTTCTAAATTTCACATATTTCATGTGTATCAAGTAATAGGGTTTCACCCAATGCAAGTAAGAAGTTTTTGAATATTAACTAGTACAATTTAATAAATATTGACATTCGTATTTGCCTTAAGAATAAAAAACTAAATTAAATATATAATAGAATTAAGGTGCATTTGAAAAGTGAAATTTTCATTTCTGCGGCAAATGTTCTGTTGATGAATCAGGTTTTTATTATACAGGAAAAGGAAGCAAATTAACGAATTTGTACTTTTCTCATTTTTTTCTTACATTTGCTCTCTCTCTCTCTCTCTCTCTCTCTCTCTGACAGCGCTATGCGCGAACTAGCAACCATTTGTTTTAACATTCAAGCTATCGTCAGGCAATGCTGGCCGTTGCAAAATGACACGCTGAAGGTCGTGGCTTCATAATTCAGAGGAGGGAGTTTTAAAGATATTTTAAATAAATTTAATCAATTTACATGAAAGTTAAAATACATGAATATGTTGTAGAAAATTATTTGCATATAAATTTAATAATCTACCATCTTGACAAGAATAAATTGAATGTTGATTTAATTATTTTGAAAGTCAGTATTCTGTTTGATAAAAGAAAGATCTATACACATTGCAAAATATAGAGATATGATCATGTGATATTTTAAGAAATTAAAGCAACTGGTATATATTTTTATTTATATAAAGTAAGTCTTAAATCAATCCGTACATTGTTAATTACAAAGTAATATGTATTATATTGTTTTGATTTATAAGGTAAAATATAAATTATATAAATCAAAACTTTGGGGATAATTTGAAGGCTCGAGATTTTTCTTAATTTTTTAATTTCCATCTTTTCGCATATAAAGGTCTACAATTTGCCAAAATGGTCATATCATCAATACAAATGCATGTTTATTTTACAATTTAGAAATATATTTCATACCTTCAAATCTAAAAATAATAATTAAATCTGTGAATCCATTTTTGATTCTAGCATATTATTTTGAAAACGAAGAATTACCTATATTAGGGATTAATACTACAGAAGGAAACAAAATCCTCAGTAAAGGTGGGATTACAATTATTTTGCAAAAACAATTCTATCAACACATGAATGAATGGAAATAAACAATGAAAAAAAAATAGACACAATGATTTTATAAAGGAATCACTCTTACAGGTTTATGCAATCTGTAAATATAATCCTAAATCATCACGAGCAGCTGCGATCTAAGAGAAGGAATTAATGTTGACAAGACAAATCATTTAGTGAGAGTCCTAAACTTAATTAGGGAAAAAGCCGAATTGGGATCCGCCCCTCTACATCTGATAATAAATGTTGTATTTGTTTGCATCAAGCGCGCGCGCACGACTCGTCACAATGGCGACTCAGGGTGCCAAGATACGAAAACAGATACTATCTTACAAATAAAGTGTGAAGTCATCTTCAGCCGAGAACTTTTTATTTTCTTTCAAAAAACTTAGTAATTGAAACCGACAACTATAATTCAGTTAATCTTTAAGTAGAGGAAAGGAGTTTTAAACAAATAAGTACCTGGTATACAATAAGAATAAACAAAGGAGAAAACGGTGTTTGATATATAAGCTTCTGACAGAGTTTTTGTTACATCAAGGTCTTAGATTTCTAATGGTCATTTTAATATCTCACAAATCTGAAGAAATGTGAATTTGTTCTTTGAAATTTTCATTTCACATTTGGACTTCACATGAAGCATAGTAAATGTAAAATATCAAACAAAAATTATAATAAAAGAATAAACAAAAATAAATCATTATAACAAAACTTAAATACGGTAATTATAACAAAAGTATAAATAACATATTTAATGATAATAAAAGTATAAACAACGATTGATGATTATAATTAAATTATCATTTTAATCAACAATTAAGTAATTGTATTAAAATCATAAACAATAGTTAATAAATTATTATATAAAGTATAAACAATAAATTTGAATTATTATATCAAGTATTAAAAACAATTTAAAAAGTATGATATAAGTTTAATCAGGAATAATATTATTATGATAAAAAAATGAACATCGATGAGTTAATTTTGATAAAATTAAAACAAACAATAAATAATAATGCTAAAAATTACAAACAACAAATATATACGAGCGCAATTACGTGAAACACAATAATACATGTAATTTTATAAAAATGCAATTAAGCAAAAAATAAATGAATTACTATATAAAAGTACAAAAAGAAAATTAATACATTAGAAAGACTACATAAACAATATATGATGTATCCAGGATCAGAGTCTGGTAACAACATCGTCTTTGATTCTAAAGGTGATGAAAATAACGTATTACAGAGGTACTGTGTTGTAATAGTACGTTTTACTCCACTTATACTTACAGTTCTTCAAAATTTCATTTTAGTCTTTAATAAGTTGAATATCTCTGTAAACCCAAGGTTCGGTCTTCACTACATATACTATAGATTCCTATTAAAACAAATCCTTAATACAAACAGAGATATACTGTATTGCCGGTCCAGCAAAAACTCTGCTAACTCTCTTTCTTTATTTCTCACAAAATACAAACTGCTGTTAACGATCTGGAACATAAAAACGCTCTTTCCTACTTTATACAAACATTACTTTTGATAAATTAAAAAAAAACTATGCTTTTTGCTACATTAAAAAACTTGCCATGACCTTCAACTCCATATTTTAAAATATCGACTACGTATTATCAGTTTTTTTTTAAAATAAAAGTTAGTATACTTCTGTTCATATGTCAACTCAATATATCCTAGTGAACCTGAAATAAGTTATACCATTAAGTCTGATACGTATGTTTCACATAACAACTAACTTATTGGAGTCTGAACATTTAAGAAGTCCTTGTTTGCTCTGCTCCCATTTCTTCTTTTCAAGGACTATCTAGCTTGATTACTGGTTAGTTAAAGTGTTTCTGTAAATAATATTTATTTTCATTTTAAAATTATTTTGAAAAACTATTTCACGATATCACTACATGTATAAAGTTATTATTAATAAAATCTTCTTCTTTTTTAATTTGTGTACCATATACATGTACTTCTTTACTCTTTTTCTAATCAATACTTTGAAAGTTGATGATTTCTTTTTTAATCTACTCTACTATTTCAAATGAAAAAAAAAGCAGAATATTATGTTAACTTTATTTTCGACTGTTGTTGACATAATTTGCTTGATACTGACAATGTTGCTGGATAAAATAAATTCATCCGGTCAGAATCTGTTCCTCCTAATTAGGCCAAACCCACGTTAAATTAGCTTCTGCTTCATCTGATAAACCAAATGGAAGCAGTAGTTCGGTTGTTTGTATCAATCGAGTGCACACGCGTGTCAACAATGGTAACTCCTTTGGACAGATCCGAAAGAAAAGAAACAGATTTTACATTGCTAAATAAAGAATGACCACACATAGTCAATGACGTGGGGACAGGGTGATCTTTAAAAGTCAGAGAAATCATTTTAAAACGAACAAGAATTAGTTTTTATGTACACGTGAGAAAACTACATTGATGAAGTATTTAGAAATTCTTGACTTTTTAAGTTAAAGATTGCTCCTTTTTAACTTCCCACTTGAATATTTACATACGTCATCCATGCACATTGCACGACATACATATTCATATTGACAAATCATCCTGCAAAATTCCAAATAAATGTAATACATACATGTATGTCGGCATTCCTTGTAGACGGGTTTTATATCTCACAACTGATTGGATCTGCAAGAGAATAATGTATGTCTAAACAATTTCTAAAACAAGGTTATTTTAACAGTATGTTCGTAGCAGTGAAGGAGAAACTTCAAGAGTACCTGTGCAACAATATATTCAAGAATTAGTGGTGTATAAATGTTGATATAATCACAAGATTTTACCAAAATCAGTATCTTAAAAACTTATGACTTTTCAACTTTATACACAACCATCCCCACGATAAAGTAAAGTCCAGACTCTTTGAGATCAATGACAGCTTCTTTTTCAATAAAAATGGAACTCGTACATTTACTTAATTACCTTGTCATTAGTCATTTGCAAAATCATTTTGTTTGAAAACATTCAGATTGTACACGGAAGTAC